GCGGGAGCGGGGGGCCTTTTTGAAAAGAGGCTTGAGTATAAAAGCAAATAAATAAATGAGTAAAATGGGCAAATTGTCAACAGCTCCCAGACAATGCAGTGCTGACATCTGGGTGGTCCTGACTAATGACCCCCAGGATGCAGAAGCTCAGGAGGGTGAAGCGGCAGTGATACTGCACTGTCATAGCGTGGCTCTACACCTCTGCTTCCGGACTTCCTGGTCCATGGCAGCCTTTCTGAGATATGCTGCCTGGGAAATGGTAGGGAAGCAATCCCCCCCAGAAAATAGCTAAAGCGAGACTAATCCACCACAAACAATCCATTGCCCTCTCTCTCCACTGGGAGGAGTTAGAGTTGAGCCTTACTTCCTTTTTCTATGCACATAGCAAAAGACAGGAAAGAAAAGAGGCTGTTTGCAAAGAGACAAGTAGTGTAAGAAAGGTGTTTTCATCTACCATGATCTAAGTGTATTAGAAGCACAATAGCAATACCCCGTGTATGCAGTTAAGGGCGATCATACAGGCTGTAAATGTGTGTCCTTCACCCAAGAGGACTGTCTCATTAGAATTTGACTTCAGTAAAGTAATTTTTTTCCACAAGATACAAAATAATGTAATACATTGTCTTTATTTGTCTGACATTACAGATTGGTTTCACACTTTCCTTTTTTTTTTTTTTTGTTTTTACAGATCATGGGAATGAAGGGTAAAAATGTGTCCAGCATTTTGCAAACATTCTTTGTTACACACAAACACACACAATGAATAATAGAAAAGAGCATACAGAGGAATTAAAAGATGTGTTGAAATTGGACAGGCTGTGGTTCTCATTGATCCATGGAAATAATGTGAAAAAAATTTTAATAACGCTAGTGAGTGGGATTATGTCATACATAGCTGGGTACATGCATTTGAAATCAAAGCTGTGTTTGTTTTGTTTCTATTTAATTTTTTTTTCTTTTTTTTTTTCTGTTTGAGTATGCTGCTCCCTCTGCTGGCTTCTGTACCTGACCACAGGGTCAGACATGGCTTCAGTTTGGGCTATTAGTCACAATGCCTCTATTTCCAGACAAAAAATTATGTAGTGATCTTGTGAACTTCTAGAGCAGAGACGTTCTTAGAGATGAAAGAAAAGCTGAAAGTTATCTATTCTTTAGAGATTACTGTCAGCCAGCAGTAGGGATTCTGCTCTGGGGAAGAACCAAAAAGATGGGATGTGAGCAATTAGTTACTGAGTAGGGTCTTTTACATTTTGGCAATCAGTGGGAAACAGGACTTCTTAATGATGTGATGGAAAGAGACTTAATTGCCTGATCTTTACAGAAAGAGAGAGATTCCACACCCTTTCAATCAAATGGAAACTGAAGTGGATATTCATGGCAGGAGAGGATGCAGAGGTTCGCTTCTGTGTGCTGTTGGTTTGGAGATGACCTTAGCCTCAGTGGACCACTAGTGACTATGTATTATGAGAAAGGTCTGATCAGCAATCCTGAAAAGCATGACAGCTTTGATATCTACATCTCTGGGGATCTAGAAAGTTTCCAGCAAATGACAATTATGTTCCCTCTTGTAAAAGATGTCATATTTCTTCTTTTGAAGCCGATGGTAGCGATAGTTATCAAAAATGTTAAATTTCAGATATCTCAATTCAAGCACTACATTGAAAAGGAAGCAAATTAGTATGATTTTTTTTTCCTTTTTCCAAACTGAAGCATGAACATACATTAGAAGCAAAAGCAATGAGAAAATCGTCAGGACGGCAGGCCCCTCCACTGTTAGTTAAGACCTGCAGTAGGGGACATAACTTACTCCCTGCTTCAGTTCTTCTTCCTACAGAAAGATTGAATTAATAATAGTTAGGTTACCCAGGGTTCCAATCAGAGCATGTACACAGGGTGAAAGAATGCAAGATGGGGAGACATCAATACGACTTTGATGGCAGGTCCAGGCTCTGCCAACTCAGTGACCACAATTCCAAGTTTACTCAGGTCTTTGAGACCACAGACCTATCTCTCTCCTCCATTTGTCAACACAGTCTATCTCTCTGTCCTGTGTTTGCCTTGATATGGAGGCTGTGCTCAGGTTAGGTAGGCAGATACCAAGATGGTGGGTGGTAAAGGGACTCCTATCTCAAAGTGAACGTGTCACCTCTATGGTGACAGAAGCCATGAGAACATAAGAAGAAGACAGTTTTCAAAGCTTCCTGTCATTCAGTGAAGGGAAAGATGGGTTCAATCCTCTGCATTGAGGACCATTTGAAAAGGGAAGCAGAAAGATCTTCTGGCTCATCAAATGAAATGACAGAAACAGTGGCAGGTTATTAATGATCTAGTCCTGTCTTACCATAGACAGGGCAATAGGAACTGAGTTCTATACCTTACATGTCTCATAGAAAAATTAATTTTTCATTGACATAATAATTGTACACATTTGTGGGAGTACCATGTGGTGTTTTGGTATAAGAACACAATGTGTAATGATTAAATTAGGGTGATTAGTATTCTCATTATCTCAACAAAAAGTACATTTTGTGGAGTAAAGATAAACCATTCTCAACACTGATTGTTAAAGAGAACACTGATGACAGGAAAGCTGGCTAAGGAATCAAACGGAGTAAGGAAAACTAAAACACAAAAGAAACAAAAGAAATGGTACAACAGTAGTGCTTGGGACACAGGTTTCCAGAAATATTTGTTAAAGAAATAAAACAAAGAAGGAAAGAAAGAGATAAAGAAAGAAAAAAGCAAGTGAGAAAGGAAAGAAAAAGGAACAAAGAAGAAACGAAGAAGGAGGAAGGACAAATGAATAATAAATGATGGTATATCCAGGATGTAGGTGGTCCATGGGTGGAAAGTCAGGACACCCCATGTCACAGGGGAGCTGCCCCAGGGGCATTCCCTTTATCACTTTCCTATCAGAAATTTCATTTCCTGCCTCTGGCAAGTCACAATTCCAATCCAGGCTGGTTTATGCTTGGTTAGCCCAGGCAGGGTGATCACACAGCGCTGACACTTCTACTGAGCAGACTGTGGACATGTGGCTATACTTTGTCTGCTTTTGACTTGCAATATAATTTAGCGTGTACTGAAGAAAGGAATTTTTTAAAAATCGAAATGCCCCTTCCCAATAAGAAAAATAGATTATGGCAGTCTATAGAAGACTTCTATAGATCATTTTATTAAACACTCTACCTCCAGATGAGTAAGGAGACATTCTCATTTATGGTTTGCGTTTGAGAACTCTAGAAATCATGTGACTAGTTGCTAAAGCCACACAGATGAATAAAATATTTTACTGAAATCAACAAAGGCACTAATAAAAACAGAATCATCAAAATTATTTAATGACTACTCCTTAATTTTCTGAATTAGGTCTTAGTCTCTGTTTGATTTAATCAGAATTTCTGGAAGCTAAAAATTTTTCTAAATAAATAGTTTTATTACTTCTAAGGACAAAAATCAGCCAAGAGGTTGCCCCATAAAGGCCCTCAGCAATCAAGTTCCAGAAAATGGGTAAGGAAGAACTCTACAGCTGACTGCTACCATTTCATGTGTAAAAGGAAAGGTTCTATAGCTGAGCTTTAAAAACATTTTGGGGAAATATATGTAGCAATTGGAAAAAACCACTGCACATTTGGTGCATATTTTCTTTCTTTCTTTCTTTCTTTTTTTTTTTTATACAAATGCCATGTAATCTGTCTTACTTGAAGTGTCTTACCTTTAGTAGCTTCATGAGCCCTTCTAACTGGACCATTAGCTCTCTCCGGCTCTCCTGGAGAGCAGACATTCTTTGTTCCAGCTCATCCTTGCGCTGTCTAAGAAAGAAGCAGTTGTTATCAGAATCAGCATTTAACTCACTGAGCTAATCACGTTTTCCATTCTTGTGGGACTAGTGCACTATCAGAAAAAGGGTTTTTGACATGGTTACGATGTAGCGAATTGTCATCTAGTAAATGAATTATTAGAGTTTGAGATGCATTTTTTGAGAGATTTTTGCTATAGGGTGCATGCACTCCCCAGAAAGACAGTGAGAGACAGAGAGACACAAAGTGAGGACCCCCCCCCCACCAGGGGGCGGGGATGACCACACTGCAGTCCCTTCTCCTCTATTCTCATCTCCATTCTTGAGATCTTGGGCACGCACGCATACGCACCCAGTGTTAGTTTAAGCCACTGGGTCTGGGACTTGAACCATAGTCGACTACATGGGAGTCCAATGACATAGTCATTACACCAACTACTGGTCCCTGAGGTGCATTTTTATTTGTTAAAAGTCACACTAGACAGGGAACCAACAGATGGCGTAATGGTTACGTTGCTAGACTGCCACATAGTTGACTGTGACTTGAGTCCCAGACCTGGTGACTTAAAACTCACAGGTGTGTGTGTGTATGTGCCCAAAATCCTGAGAGGAGAATGGAGGAGAAGGGATTGCAGTGTGACCATCCCCCCTGGTGGGTGATATCTCACTTTCTGTCTCTCTGGTGAGCACATCCACCCTATAGCAAAAATCTCTCTCTCTCTTTTTTTTTTTTTTTTGCTATAGGGGGCGTGTGCTCGCCAGACAGAAAGAGACAGAGACAGAAAGCGAGAAATCATCCCCCAGGGGGGATGGCCATGCTGCAATCCCTTCTCTTCCATTCTTCTCTAGGGATCTTGGGCATGCATGCACATGTTTCTGGCATGAGTTTTAAGCCACTGGGTCCGGGACTCAAACCGCGGTCAACTACATGGTAGTCCAGCGACATAGCCATTATGCTAACTGCTGGTCCCACAAAAATCTCTTAAAAAAAAGTCACTCTGGACTTAAACAGAATTAAAATCCTTTCAGACATTTCTGCCCTTCCACCTTGAATTAATTAGCCATCTAAACATGTATTTCGAAGTCCTTACTACATAGTAGGCCTTGTACTGTGCCATTGAGTTTCCTAGAGACAATAAACAAAAACCAAATTGTCACTGGAAAACATGAATCCTACAGACCTCCTGATCCAAGGACCCTTTGGTAAAATCACAGGAAATACCAATTGCCTTAGTATTTGGAAATCTGATTTAATAAGTATATTTGTGATCTCTTCCATCCTCAGCAGCTAATATGTTGCCTTTCAGAGGCGAAACATTAATGGTATATAGATACAGCCAACCTAGCTTATTTGCTTTGGGTTTGGTTTCAAAAAGTGAATTTAGAATAAATTGTTCTACAATTGAAACTGACATACACAGTTTGTATTTATTTATTTTGCAGACCTTTTATTAAATTGTCAACAGGAATGGAAACTCAGGATCATTTATATCATTTATGTTGACACTATGAAGTACCAAAAATACCTATAATGAGGGAAAGAAATGAAACGGTATGGAGAGGAATATTAATAGTTCACACTTCTGAAGCATATATACAATTTCAAATCAATCTCAAACCCATTATTTAATGATCATTATTGAATAAGTAATATGAACAATTTCCCCTTTGCCTCAAAGGCTTCTGTTTTAAGTTTGACATATTAGTAACTTATATTATAAAAATGTGTAGTTGTTTTAAAATGCATATATTAATGTATGAATGAATATAGATCATCTCAATGGCATATGCAACATATTGAGTGGATCTGAAGAAATGACTCGAATCAAAATCCAACAATATAAAAATGTCACCATGAATTAGGTCACTTCCTCACCCAATTGAAAGACATTTTGTGGGAGAATAAGTTAAGGATATAAATGAGACATTTTAAAATTTACTTTCATGTAAGCTTTTTCACTAATGAATTACAAATTTAAAATTCATAAACGTTTTTGATGCGTTTTTGGAAATATTTGTATTTTTAGTTGTTATTGCCACTTATGGTTTACTCCTAAAGCAATCTTTCTTTGATTTCCTTTGTAATTGTTTTCTTTTAGAATCCAGAGCATGAGAGCATCATAATTTTACAGGCTTTAAGGGTATCTTATTTTAGTCTTTGTCTTCCTGGGCTGGTGCCTTCTAATTTGGAAAGCCTTGTTCCATTCAGAAATATGCATCAATAAGAAGTCCATTTGCTGCTTTTCTTTGTCTGCACATGGTTTTCAAGTACACCTAGGGTAGCCTTGGCACAGTAGATGGTGTTTCTTATTTACTTCTAGTTCTTCTTTTTTAGTTTTTTTTTTCTTTTAAAGAAAAACAAAAGACAAAAACTGGACAGAGTCTTGTTAAGTTGTGATCTTCAGCCTCCCAAGTAACTGGGAGTACAGGTGCATAACACCATACTGGCTTTCAGGGTAGGCTGAAATTAAGCCTAGGCTTCCATTGTGACCTCAATCTGCTGAGTAGCAGTATCTACCAGCGTGCACTATTGTAGTTGGGCCCCTCATTCTCTTCTTGATACTGCTTTAATTTTTGCCTTTCAGACACAGAAATACTCCAGGAAGAAGGTTAAAGCAAAACTCCTGAACTGTAGGTAAGAAATACTATAAGAAAGGGGCCAAATGGTAGCACAGTGGTAAACAGGGTGCTCTGTGAGGCTGACCCAGAGGCAAGGTTCTCGTTATGCACTTGGAGACCTTCCTGAGTACGCTGGATATGCATGTACCCATGATCCAGGACTAGTTGAAGCTGAAGCTGGGAGTGGATCATTGTATATTAGATAATCACATATACCCGTATTAACTTTCTGAATTTGAAGATGGTATCGTAGCTACATAAATTTTTTTTCCTTAGAAAACAGAATTCTTAGGGATGAAAGGTAATAAAGTCTGCAACTTTTATTTAACCTCTGTGAATCTTGTTTTCCTTTTCTATAAAAGAAGTATAATACTAGTGTTTATATCCCGGGTTTGTTATAACAATGATATGGGACAGTGTATTCAGAATTTAGAGCATATGAAATATCGGATTAGCACATAGAAATGCCTATCATATAGCTACATCTAGGCTGCAAACTTGGCTTTTAGTTTCCAGTGACTATAGTAAAAAGGAAACAATCATTTAGAAAGATCACAGAACATTTTAAGACAAAAATAAGATTATGTGTTCATGAAAAGCCAAGCTTTGCTCTCTTCTCTCCCTTCTCTGCCCCTCCTACAGAAAGAAATTTCTCATTTGCTCTTGTGGTGGTTAATTCGCTGGACTACCAAATAGTCAAAAGCAGTTTGAGTCTCGGACAGGGTGGCTTGAAACTCACACTGGGCATATGTACTAGCGTACCGAAAATCTCAAGAGAAGAATGAAGGAGAAGGCATTGCTGTATGACCATCCCCCCAGGGGGGATGATTTCTCACTTTCCTTCTCTCTGTTTATCTCCTGGGAGCACATGTGCCCTATAATAAAAAACAAAAACCAAACAAACTTGGTAAGGATGTAAAGGAGAAGACCTCTATGAAAGCTACAAGGAGTCCTGCATCCGCTCTGCATGGCCATTCCTCACTATGATCTAAGGCCAAAGTAAATACAAGTGGCCATTGTTATGGAGCTCTTTAAAGTCTGAAAAGCCAATAGAGTAAAATTTAGAATACCCAGAACAGGGTTTCTTATAGGTATCTGTGAATCCCCAAATTGAGAAAATGCTTAGTAGAGTAAGTGGTTTATAAGTGTCCAGAGAAATGGAAATCCCCTTAAAGGGGGAGTATTTCTTCTTCTAGGCAGAAGAAACGTGTAGAATATGATGGCAGGTAAGCAAAGCAGCCTGAATTTAGGCTTCTTAGGTCTCAGGTTTCAGCGTGGGCTACTAGTTGACAGTAAGGACCAATAGTGTAGACATCCCCAGCACATTTAGACTTCTTAGGATACTTTAAGGCTCATTTGGGGTTATGGCATACTAGCAAGTCAGGGCCAGCAGGATAGTTAGAATTATTAGTCTGTTCTAAGATGATGATGTCAAGGAGGGAAAAAGTATCACTTGAACCATGCATCATCAGTGTTCTAGGCACATCTAGATGATCTCTCAGACTGTATCATTCAAAGGAAGCTAAGACTTCCAAAAGCAAAAGCTAAATTGGGAAACTGATAAAAATGCTTGTGAAAAATTCCTAGTGTTCACCCCACCAAGACAGAATGAGATGGAAAGAATATTCAGGCAGAGACAAGGTACCATGATGTGTACATGAATACTCTGTTGGTAAGTCGAGTATTCAGTTACATTTCTGAGTATCTTAGAATACTTCACTTTCAACTTGTGAACTGGCAGGGCCTACAGCGTTCATCTAGAAAATGATACTTTCAAGTAGGCATTTGCTTTTTTTTTTTAGAGAGTGATTTTGTTAAGGGTTCGTGTGCTCACTAGAGAGACAGAGACAGAGAGAGTGAGAAATCAGCTCCCAGGGGGATGGCCATGCTGCAATCTCTTCCTGGGATTCTGGGCATACATGCACACATGCCTGGCATGAGTTTCAAGCTGCCAGGTCCCGGTTCAGGACTTGGATCATGGTCGGCCATGTTGGAGTCCAGCACCTTAACCACTATGCCACCTGCTGACCTTCAGGCATTCATGTTTAAATGCCTTTGATGAGAATGATAATATGAAATGCTATCTTTTCCTTCTTTCCATTGTTACCTTTTCCATACAATAGATAAGTACAATAGAATGTGCAAGGATATCTAATGTCTCTCTGCAGGTAGATCTGGAAATCATTCAGATTAAAAAGAATTTTTATTTACTCCTAGATTATTTTGTTATTCAAATATATGAAGTGATCTTTTCATGTCAAATAGCACCTATAAGCTGTAGGTTCTACAGATCTCTTTTTCACAAGTCAAGCCTTGATAGTCTGCTTCTCCATCCAGTGCCTGGATCTGAGGAAAAGTCACTAGATTACAGCTGGAGAGTGGACAGGGCCTAAGGCCTAGGCCGACTGGATGCAGTGCTCAGATGTTAACATGCTTGAATAGCAGGGCTAGAGTGGAACTCCCTCAAACACCCATGACCACAATCAATAGGGACTTGGTAAAATCTGAACAAAGTTGTGGTTGGCAGGTGGCCTTTTGGTTAAGGTGTTAGATTCCCACATGGCCATCCACATATCTGAGTCCCAGACTTGGCGGCTTACTTTCTCACTCCCCCTCTCTCTCTCTTGTGAATACATGTGCCCTATAGCAAATTAATAATAATAATAATACAATTAAAAAAATTCTTTAAAAAACAAATCTAAACAAAGTCATACAAAACCTGTTCAATTTAGTATCTTTGAATGGAGGATGGAAATGACCCTAATTTTGGAAAGCATCTCTGAGAAGAGGCATCTGTACTGACTATAAAAAGTATGACTTGGAGTAATAGATACACCTGGAATGCACTTGGCACCCAAATTGAAAGATGAAAAGAATGTAATACTTGCTAGCTAAAAGTGCCACGTGAAAGATCAGCATGACATTTCTATGAGGGAATGTCTTTGAATTTATTTTTATGTTGTTTGTTGTACAAGTACATTTGAGTACCTGCCACATTCAAGGCATGGTACTCATCCAGTCTGATGAGGAGCCAACCTCTACGACTCACATTTGATAGCCTGAGTTGAAGCAGACCCTACAGCTCTTATGAAGCACATCACTCTACAGCTTTCTGACTCTGAAAAGTGCGCTAAAATTCAGAGGTTGAATCAGATGACCCCCCTATGGTCCCTTCCAACTCAAATATTTTATGATGACAGACTAGACAGGAACAGGCTTTTTCATTCATTTGCAGATCAAGAAAGTATAAGGTCTATTTTTAAAGATTTGTTTCTAAAGCTTTTATATCAAGATTTAGAGAAAATTGCTTAATTTTATGGGTTACATTTTGAATTAAAAAATCTGTGATATTTACTAAGCTGCTTATAAATTTTTTCTTGACCATTTGTAATATAAACACATTGATAAATTGATAATAGTACAAATGACTAAAAAGTGCTAAGTTCTTTTTTTTTTTTTTTTTTTTTGTGTAAGACTTTGTTCCTGATCTGAAAAACACTCAGATTTCCTTCAGATTATACAGGAAAGTGTGACACAGAAAGAAAAACAACAACAACAACAACCAAAATCCCCCATACTTTCTGTGTCAAATAAAATAATAAAATATAAATGGGCTTCTTCCTAAGTCCCTCATATCTCAGCAGTTAATTGCATACTAATAAAAACCAAGCAAATGTCAGCTGCTCTGGTGGCTAAGGATCGTTTTGTGGCTAGAATTTGTAAAAGATCATACACATTTACAGTCATATCTATGTATCCACAGGAGATTGGTTCTAGAACATCCATTCCCATTCCCAAGGAGACAAAATCTGAGAATGTGCAAGTCTCTTCTGTAAAATGATATAGTATTTACATATAACCTATACACATGCTTTCTTATACTTTAAATCATCCCTAAAGTACTTACTTGTAAGTAATCTTAGCAACAGATATAAGTGAAAAAGAAAAATACATAAATAAATGTATTCAGCATCTCTCTCACTCTCTTTTGAAAGGCTTTTGCCATAGGTCACATGTGCTTGCTAGGGAGAGAGATAGAGAATGAGACAGTGAGAGGGAAAGTGCAGCCCTCGGAGGGGATGGCCACACTGTAATCCCTTCTTCTTCTATTCGCCTTCTGATATTTTAGGCATGTGTACACTTGTACCCAGCAAAATTGACTGATTTTCAAGCCACCAGGTCCAGGACTCCAACTGTGTTTAGTTATGTGGGAGTCCAAAGCTTTAACCACCATACCACCTGCTGGCCTCCTTCAGCATCTCTTATTAAGGGAGCCCATTTGATAACTCTTTCTTCCCCCATTTTATAACAATTGCTATGACCCGGCTGTGTCTACAGTTGGTTGAACCCCAGTCATGGATGCGGAGGGCTGACTATATAAGCCCTGAGGTGACTAGGATGCCTGCTCTTACCTGAGGAGCCGGAGTTCTGCCAGTAGGGTGGGATTCTGCTGTGCCTTCTCTGGTGTGGGCTGAGAAGCTTGTTCATGCTCTAGCCTCAGTCTCTGAATCTCCTGTAAGATTTCTCTTGGGAGAGAGGAGGCAGATGAGAAACCAAAGTCAGTTAACTTCTTGGATACTAACATCTGAGTAGAACTGGACCACCAGAACAAAGAGCGAGGAGATGTGTCATCCTATGTTTAGGAGCAGAACAGACCTTCCCTACTCAACAGACTCACTTGTATGAGGCTTTGGTCATAGCTAGTTGGGGGCTGTGGGTGCAGGGTGCACTAACTTCATGGCCAGTGTATCCAGACCATGCAGGTTTGGCAGTGCATTCATTGTTGAGTGCTATCACCAGGTCCCAGTAATCTCTCCAGTAAGTAATATAATGCTGAGGTAATGTGTTCAGCTTAGAAGAGTGCACTGCTTAGGAGACAAAAATGTATCTTTCTACTATTTATGATAGCACTCTGACACCAGAAAGTACCCGAAACTGCAAAGTAAAGGTGCTTGGAGGGAAAAATAAGGATAAAGGATGTTCATTTTACAAAATTAAATGACTTCATTCTCTCACCAAGAAAGAATCTTCTCACTGAATTTATCTGTGGAGTCCCCAGTAAGGCAAAATTCTTTCTTTCTTCTTAACACTTTCGGCCTTAACAATGGCTTTCAATGAGGGTAGCTTTAGGAGGAAAGTGCTTTTAAAAGGATTCTCTGTAATTGAGTCTGTGACATGGAGTGCTATTGGTGTGACCTCTGTCAGGGGGTGAGATGTGTCAGTCTATTATTGATGTTGGAGCCTGGGCTTCCCTGCATTTGGTGAACATTAGGCTGGTTATAAAGGATAGACAACCTCTATGAGGCAAATTATCCTTAAGCGAGTCAGAAGCTATTAAACAAGGTTACAAGTCACATATTCTTGGGGGTTGGAGGTGTTAGACTGCTACTCAACAAAATGCACAAGAGCCAGTAAGAAAGAACAAAGCACTGAGAATGGAAAGTGAAATTGGCCTACGAGCTGGATGGCTGTCACTTTACGAGGCTGATATGACTACCTACTTCACAAACTTATAGAAACAGGAGGCTAGTTACCCATGAGTCATTACTACCAACCCAAGTACAGTGAAAAGGTTGGAGTATGTTCGTTGGTTTTCAACTTTATTTATTTACTTATTTATTTGTTTCTATTGGTGCTCCATGGTAGAAGTCTTTCTTTAAAGAAATCTTCCATGGAAACCCAATGTGTCATACTGTTGATAGGAAGCACTCTGGTTAAAGAAAGGGTAGGAGGTTCTTGTACCACTAGTCCTGCCTCCTCCTGTTTCAGGTATGTCTGCAGAAGACCCTGGATCCCATAGAGCTCAGCCCAAAAAATCAGTGAAGTAGGATGTCTGAGATTTCTTCCAGGGCTAATATCTTGGTCTTTTATGACTAGAACCACTAGTTCTGCCTGTTGGTTCTAAAGGCAGAACCATAACAGAGTCATTTAGCCTGAAAACAAAGAGAATAGAAGATGCATACCTTGAATGATTAGTCTGTACACAGGAATGGTGCTGTCTTATTGAACCTTATTTTATTTAATCCTACCACAGTTTCATCTTATATAGGTATTATTATTATCCTGGTCTCATGAATGAGGAAATCAAGACACAGACCAGTTAAAAGATTTGCTCATGATCAGTAACAAGTAGGTAGTAGAGGTGATTTGAACCTTGAGTGGCTACCTGTAAAGTCTATATTTATCAGATTGCCTCCATCTTTTGGTTCTTGCTTTGACAGGTCTAGCCTAGGCAGGCAGTGACTTAGACAATGTAGTTTGAAGATTCCTATTACTCCTCATACCAACCCCAACTCTCAAAGAGTGCTGTAAAAAAAGCATTATTTGCTTTTTCTAAAAAGTTATTTACTTTATTTATTATTATTTTTTAACTCAGCCATAGAGAGA